GCCCTGCCTCGCGTTTGCAGTGCGCAGGAAACCGTGTGCCAGCAAGGGGCGCAGGCACGGCCAGCAGGGAGCGCCCGCGGACCTCCCAGTGAGCCAGCTGCCCAGAGCCGGAAGTGTCCCGGGTGCTAGGACTCCGAGGGGGGCAGGAGCCGCGCCAGGACCGGAAGTGTACGAGGCGGGAGCGCGCAGGGCCCAGAAAACGCAGGCGGCCAGAGGAGGCCAGGGGAGTTCCGGTGCTAGGAAAGAAGGTGGGGATTTAAGTTCTGGGTGGGGCGCGGGTCCCACAACCGCTCGGAATTTGCCTCCTAGCTCCGCTCTGGAAGCTAAGAAGGGGCACAAGAAGTGGAGAGAGGGAACCTGAGAGCAGGGGAGCCAGTAGCCGGCGGGAGGAGCGCGCTGTTCCTCGGGTCGGAAGGAGCCGGTGCAGCCTTGACCCGCGTGCGGCAGGGTCAGCGAGGCCCCTGCGGTGCTTCGCCGCCGCCTTCCCCTCCGCAGTCACCGGCCCTCTGGGCCTCCCACAGGTCCAGCGGCGGGTACCGGCCCCCAGAGCGAGGGCGGGCTGTGAACTGGCATCACATCGCGTTCCCGCGGGGGCCCCCTTCCGCTTAGGCAGGGAGCGGCTGGCATGGGACTGAGGTCTGTCCGCGAGCGCCGTGCCCCGGAGACCCGGCTTCTGGAAGGTGCTGCGGCCTGCCCTTCGGGCCCAGAAGCAGGGCGGGGAGGCGCGGGGTCTGGAGTCTGCAGGACCTGGCTGCGAATCCAACCAGCTGATTTCAAACTTTTCTGTGATCTTCTGCAAGTTAACTCAGTCTCAGTTCCTCGTTTGCGAAATGTACTTAATATGCATCCCAGGGTGAACTAAATTTGTCCACATAGATTGCAGCAGTGCACTTGCGAGGCGCCTTAGAGAGTAGGAGTCACTAATATCAATGAGTTTTGACAGAAATGAGGGGGCATTGGCAAAGGTGTGCCCCGTGGCCATACAGGTTAGGAGGAGGGCCTGCTAATATTTTTTCTTAAGTTGTAAACAGCCATCTGAATGAGCAATACATTATCAAATTGTGATTCAGAGAGGACTATCGCTGACTACTTTTTTCTGGGCATACCTCTGCTTCAGGAGCTTGTGGCTTGATTCTTAAGTGGAAGGTAGAGACCGAGGCCCTCTGAGTCACAACTCCATCTCTCTGAGTGAGGACTGAGCTCCAGGACTGCAGAGTGGAGGCAGAACAATTGGGATAGGAAGAAGAGAGGCCAAACTAGATCAGAGTCTGGCGTGGGCTTCAGAGTCCACAGACTGGCACAGTTACGCTTCGTGGCCCCTATTGCTGGTTCAAGTTTGACCAATCAGAAATATCTTTAGCTTAAGGGCGGGGTGTTGGCCAATGAGACTTTATTGTGAAATAAAATGCCCTCAGTTTCATGTAGCTGAGCCACCACAGAGGAGTGGAGAAATCGAGTTGACCAGGTGAGGGAGAGGCCATTAAGAGATATTTTAGGGATTGGATGGGCTGGGCACCCCGAGGACTGGCATTTGGGGTGGTAATGAGGAGGAACATTGGGGGCCTCCGCCTCTTCCTTTCCTCCTGTGCTGAGTCAGTCAGCACAGAGGCTGCAGGAGGTAGCTCTGGTTGGCTCTGGCTACCTGTGGGGGGCACCGCTTTGCGGAGGTCAGAGGGCTCGCTCCTGAGCCGCTCTCATGCCCACAATCACATCTGCCTGATGTCTGTGAATGGCCGTCTGAGTCTCCTGGGCCCTGCTCACCTTTTGGTCACCTCTGGCCTGCCCTGCACCGACCAGTAACTGCTTGATGACTGGAGGTATTGGAATTCACTGAACTTTATTGTTCTTTGTAGGAATCAAAGATCAACTCCCACTGAGGACAAATGGACCTGTAATTCCGGGTGTGACGAGAGAATGGGATTTACCTTCCTGAATTAAAAAGCAGGTCATTAAACTTTGGCCCTGACTTTTCTTTGTGAGAAGGTACAGAGATGGAAACCTTACAATCCGAGACTAAAAAGAGGGTCCTTCCCTCATGGCTGACAGCCCAGGTGGCTACCAAGAATGTGGCACCAGCGAAGGCCCCCAAGAGGATGAGAATGGCAGCAGTGCCGGTGGCAGCAGCAAGGTGCGACAGCCCTGGTCAGATGACTCCTGCGAATCTGGCGAGTGGAGCAGGGACCTCCACGACCTGGGCCAGGTCTTCCAGCGTAGGCAGAACAGCAAGATGGGCGGGTGTTTCAGTCTGATCATCTCTTGAGCTTCTAGGAGGTGGAGGGGCTGTGGGCAGGAGGCAAAACAGGTTAAACCTCGAGGACAGGCACCCGCTTCTGCCTCTGCACTGGTGAGTGCTCTGCTGTCAGCACACACACAATGGGTTTTCTATGTCAGCCAATCTCTGATGCCAGTTGTCCAAAATGCCAGACTCTTCCTTTACAACAAACATGGTAACATCAGATGGGCAAGATCAGTGGTAGGGTCTGTTCTCCTGAGTGGTGCCTGCTCCTCCTGTGGACAGCCCTTTAGGGATGGACAGATGAGCAGCAGCTGCGGGGCCAGCAAGCGGTCAGGAGCTGAGGAGTGAGTTGAATGACGGTAATTGCGTGGGGTGGGGTGAGTCTCCAGGCTGCAGCATCAAGTGGGCGGGGCCCCAGCACTGGGTGTTCCCCTCTCTGGCTCCTCCTCCTCTAAGGTTTCCTGACCGACAGCCTTCCCATGTGACTGCTGCCGCCTTTCCCTAAGTCTGGCCCTGCTTTCAGGTTCCTCTCAGTGCAGCCTCGGCCTGAGGTCCCCTTCCTCTTGCATCCACGTGTGTGTTTCAGAGGCGGCAGCCCTTCCCTACTTCCAGATCCTTGTAGGGCGGTTGGTGGAGGGTGGGAGGCACCCCGGTGTTGCCTCCATGAAGCCCTGTGCCAGTCACCGGCCTGCAAGGTTAAGGAAATTGTGTCCGTGTTGGAGAAAGCTCCTCGGCTCAGAGGTGCTGGTGCCTCCTGTGTGGTGAGAAGTTGGCGGGAAGAGGCCCTCTTGCTCCTGTTTTCTTTGTCCTTGTGAGACCTGAGAGTCTGTGTCATCTGTGCCTTGCGTGTCTTTGTTTCAGACACCCTGCGACGAGGACTGTGTACTGCATGAATGAGGCCGAGATAGTCGATGTTGCTCTGGGAATCCTGATTGAGGTAAAGTCAGCCAAGCCTCTTACTCACGACCAGAAACTCTGCATGGGCAGAAGCTAGACTAGGCCCTTGGTCACCGTCAGTAAGAGAGACACCCTCTGCTGTAGGCTACCTCTTCTTTCTCCTGCCACTTGCCTCGCTTTTGTGTCGCCATGTTCTCCAGGCCTCTCCCCATGTGGTTGTGTGCTCGCAGGGTGAGTCTTTGGGGCTAGATGCATGGGAGGGCATGCGTGTGTTAGGGAGAGCGTGACTGCGCACTAGTGTGTATGTGGATGGGACATGAAGCCTTTACCTGTTTGTGTTCTTGGAAAGGTTCCCAGTTGGGTAGGTGACTTCTTAACCGTTGCCCCTCTCCTGAGCAGAGGCTGCTGAGCTTCCTGGCTTCCTGCAGTAATAATTGCAGTGCCTCAGAGTTGCACAGCATTCTGCAGTTTACCCAGTGCCTTGACAGCCTGTGTGATGTCATTTGGGCCTTGCAGTAACCCTGTGGTGTGGGGCTTTTCCTAGTGCTAAGGCATGGGGCCACACCCAGGTTTTGTATCCTGGGCTGCTTCCATTCTGTCACCGCCCCTTCTAGACATGTTTCTTCCATTTCTTTTTCCTTTCCCCTCACTAATCCTCATGCCTCTGCTGGCTTCTCTCCCAAGTGGGTCCTGGTTTCTTCAAGAGCTGTGAAGAGGGGGTGCGGGGAGGAGTGGGGTGAAGAGAGGGTAGGTGCTCAGGATATGGTTGCATTGCCTGGCCTGATCACACTGGCTTTGTAGTTGCTTCTGGATACATCCTGCATGAGTCACTGACAGACAGATCAGCATGTTAGGGAAATGAAATGTATGTTGAGCCTGCCGTTTCCTGTACTCCGCAGAGCCGCAAAAAGGAAAAGGCCTGCGAGCAGCCGGCCCTGGTGGGTGCTGATAACCCAGAGCTCTCCCCTCCCTGCTCTGTGTCGCCTCACACAAGTTCTGGGAGCAGCAGTGAGGAAGAGGACAGTGGGAAAGAGGCACTGGCTGCAGGCCTCAGCCCTTCCCAGAGGCCAGGGGATTCCAACTCTGCCTGCAGCAGGAGCCCCGAGGAGGAGGAGGAGGAAGAAGAGGATGTGTTGAAATACGTCCGGGAGATCTTTTTCAGCTAGGGCATAAACTGTGCACTCAACTTTCTGCTGAGAGCAGCTGGAGGACAGCTGAGCTTCCACTGGTGCTGCTGGACCACCCGCCTGTGGGAATGGGGCTCTCTGTGCTCCTAGCTTTGTGCCTTCTTGGGCCTGGCGGATTCACGTCAGGCCAGAAGTCTCCGGACGCTCCAGGCCTCGGGGCTGCCATTCTGAGTGTGCAGAAGGCAGGACTCAAAACAAGATCCCATTCGAATCTCGCTGTATGTACTGCATCCTCTCCCAGCTCTGAGGCTCTGGAATCCCAACTGTCTGTGTTAGTCAGTCACCAGGTTCCAGGGAAAATGATGTCATTTGGTGGTCCAACTTACTGGAACCAAAGAGAACTTTTCAAAGAAAAGGATCACTGCCAGGTGCACTGGAATTACTAGTTTAGTCCACATGATCTCTCCTGGAGGAAGCCTGTTTAAAAAATAGTTTCCATCATGAGTCAATCAATGAGCTCCCACCTCTCCAGCCAGCCTAGAAAGCAAACGAGCTGCCCACAGTTCTCTGCCGTGTTTGGGAGGTTGAGGCCACAGTGTTTGGACTGGTAAGCCAGACAGGCCTCCTCCCCCAAGCTGCTACCTTGCTTTCACATGTACCTTGGTTCCTGGGCAGCTAGTTATAAAGCAAGAGGGACAGGAGCCCAAAAGAGACACTAAGGACAAGAGATCACACCAGAGTACATGTTTCTGTCTTTGTTTTCAGTGTGGCTTTGGACAGGAATAAATGAGTGAATCATTTGCCATACAGGTTTTCCAATGCGCAGGTGCTGGAAAATACACACAATTCCCCAGTGCTTAAGTTGTGCTAATGTCTTTCCCAGTTCCGGGTTGAGAAGTGGAGGGTGGCAGCATTTGTATGTGTGCAACCGTCCAGTCCTGATCACACTGAGGATTTGGTGTCCTCCAGGGTCTCATCATGGGAGTGATTTGCCAGCGGATACCTCTGCCCTGACTGGCTTCAAGTCCAGGGAAGCTTTGAAGCAACCAAGGCTTGTCTTTGTGCTTCATGTGTCCTGTCTTTGTTGAGTCACTCAGAGATCACTCCTGGACCTCTGGGGTTGGAATCCCAGTGACGGCTTATGGTGGCCCACTCACCATCGTGGGCTGAGCGGAAGCTCCTTAAGCAGGCCCCTAGAGGCACTGAGGTGCTCGCTCTTTTAATATCCTCATTTGTTTCCATAAGTCTTTGCTAGGTTTCAGTTTGGCATTTGGTGAATCAGCCTGGAATTCTGACCTCATGACAGGAATCACTCCCTCCCCACCCTCCTGAAGCTAGAGGAAGATTTGCTCAGACCCATTAATTAAAGCAGGAATTGGTATGACAATGAGCTGCGTGGTTTTAGGGAGTCCTTGGGAGCCTTGGAAGTTGTGAAGGACAGACAATCCTATACTAAGAAGCCGCAGGTGCCCTGGCTGCCCTTGCTGCCCCTTGGCCTCTTTGACACGGGGGCCCCACCTCCTCTGCAGTAGGTTGCATCTGCTGGAGCTGGAGATCAGTGTTAGCTATAAAATGAGATGGCTGAACAGATGTGTCACCTCCGACCATGGTTGGAACTGAACCCTTGCAATCACATAAGCCTTTAGCAGCTCTCAAGCTCACTGTAAGCCCTCTAAGCCCTTAGAGGGAACATAACCGTTTCCATTAACAAGAGGATGAGTAAGGCCTGGGCGCTGCCCAGAGCTAGAAACCCAGGCCCCGGGAGGGAGAGCCTGACCCACTTCCACACATAGAAGAGGAAGAGGCCCAGGCCGCTGGCCAGCAGCATGGAGGACGCAGCCAGGAAGCCCACTGCTAGCTGCCACTCTCTGTCATTACCATTGCACCAGGCTAGGAGGAGAGGCTGAAAGGAAAAGAGGGTGAGGACCAGGGCCCCGTACACGCCAAGCCTGGCCAGGGCCAGGCCAACCAGAGGCACCCCCAGGGCCTCCAGCTCAGGGAACTGGTGACACTGTAGGCTGCCAGCATCCTCATTCCACAGGCAGAAGTTGTAGAAGCCTATTCGCAGGTTGGGCAGGTCAATGAGGTCCCCAGACTTCCAGAGGAGAGCGTAGAACATCAGGCAGATGACCACAACTGTGAGGACAATGATGCTCATGAATGGCGGCTGGTCGCCCCACCGAGGCCTTGGCCTGGCCATCTCTCCTGCCCTCTGCGGGGGGACCTGTGGGGAGGTCACAGCAGTCAGTGTATCTCTGCCTCGCTTGCCCCCTGTGTCCTCACAAGCTCATGTTCTCCCTTTGGCATTTCTTATAAACCCATGACAAGCTTCCCTCCTACCCTGCCCTCCGCCAAGGACCAGAAATCTGAGGTAACCTCGTGCCAGGAACTATTTGCTAATAAGTCATTAGCTGCCCTCTGATTTGAGGTCTGGAGGAAAAGTCTCTCCCAAGCAGCTTTGAAAGTGTGAAACATCTTCAACTGAGTGAAGTGCTCTTTAGCCAAAGACTTTGCTTCAGTCCAAATACAACAAACCATTGGAAGCAGTGAGGGGATTTCTCAGCTGTGTTTTGAAGGTGGGTTTTGACTGAGGTGAAGGGCAAGGCCCACCCTTAATGGGGACCTGAAGGTGGAGGAAGCTATTGGTTTTCACCACAGCTGCCGAGACAACCACCTGGGGAGCTGTAAGAACTACCCATTGCTGGGCCACAGATCAGTCAGAGCCCAACTTCCGTGCTTAGAGCTGGGCACTAGTGTGTTTCTGAAGCTCTGCAGCTCATTCGAAGGTGAGCCTGGGTCAAGGACCACTGACACACGCACTCTGATTTTACCTGTGGTGCTCTGGGAACTCATTAGTGGGTCAAGACAAGATGTCACCTGGTGATGAAATCCCATCACATACTCATTACTTTAAAAACTAACACAATTTTTTTCCTGACAATAGTAGTATATGTTAATTATAGAAAACTTAGAAGTTTTTGTTTGTTTGTTTTTGAGGTGGAGTCTCGCTCTGTCACCCAGGCTGGAGTGCAGTGGTGTGATCTTGGCTCACTGCAACCTCTGCCTCCCGGGGTCAAGCGAGTCTCCTGCCTTAGCCTCCCGACTAGCTGGGACTACAGGCACCCGCCACCATGCCTGGCTAATTTTTGTATTTTTGGTAGAGATGGGTTTCACCATGTTGGCCAGGCTGATCTTGAACTCCTGACCTCAAATGATCCACCCACCTTGGCCTCCCAAAGTGCTGGGATTACACCATGCCTGGCCAGAAGATATTTTTTAAATAATAATAAAAAAGATAACCTTTTATCCCACCATACACATAAAACCACTGTTAATAGTCTACCAATATTTTCTTCCTGTGCTGATGTATTTTTACATAATCATGGTGTTGAACGTAATGTTTTTCTCTAGATTTAGTAAACATTTTTCAAAGCTGTTAAATATTCTTCAAAAACACGATCAATGGCTATGTAATAGTTCATGTGGAATCATCCATTACACTATTATTAGACAAATTGTTTCCACTTTTCACCATTATAAGTGGTCAGTGAAGATGCTGTGTGAATCGTGTTTGGAATCTGATTTTTCTCAGGTGATCTACCTATAAGTGCAATAATTGGATCAAGGATAGAAATATCTTTTAGTGATCTTACTAAATACTGCCTAACTGGCCTACAGAAAACTTGCTAATCATAGGCCCTCTAGTTGTATATGAAAGTGCCGACTTTGTTATATTCTTTAAAAAATTCTTTTCACTCCTTTTTAAATCAGAAGGGCTTTGTCCAGTTGGCCTCTGAAACAGTGGTCTGCACACCGTACCTTTACATATGTGTATTTTTCAATATGGGATCAGGTTTGGCTGATATGGTTTGGCTGTGTCCCTACCCAAATCTCATTTTGAATTGTAGTTCCCATAATCCCCACATCGTGGGAGGGACCCAGTGGGAGGTAATTGGATCATGGGGATGGGTTTCCCCCATATTGTACTCATGGTAGTAAGTCTCATGATACCTGATGGTTTTATAAAGGGCAGTTCCCCTACACATGTTCTCTTGCCTGCTGCCATGTAAGATGTGCTTTTGCTCTTTCTTTGCCTTCCATCATGATTGTGAGGCCTCCCCAGTCATGTGGAAATGTGAGTCCATTAAATCTCTTTTTCTTTACAAATTACCAGGCATCTCTTCATAGCAGTATGAAAATGGACTAATACAACAGCATTCACACCAGGAAGTGACTAGGAACACAGAGCTTCAAGCTTTGTGAGGCACGAGGTACTGGGGCCATGATACCAAGTGGCTTCCTGGAAGCCCCGGCAAGGAGTCCCAGGTGGTGTTCAGCAGCAAAATGAGTGGTGGCCCTGGAAAGGGACCTGAAAACTACACAGCCCTGATGATCAGCTTCTGAGGGGAGCCCTCTGGGGGAAAAGCCCCCTCCTCTTTCCCAGAGCTGACTGGAAGGTCTGTCCCATTCCACACACTGCATTTGTTACAGGAAGGGACCAAGTGGGGTAAAAAAAGAACATGGAACAGGCTGAGAGAGAGGGCGGCTCCATTCAAAGGACCTATGCCAAAAATGAGAATAAAGATTGACCAGCGACTTTTGGTAGAGACCTGGGCACCCTGGCCAGTGAAGAGCTGGGGCCTGTGAGTACAGCAAAGGTGGAGTCCACATTGCCACCACCTCCCCTCAGATGCCGCTGCTCTGGGCTCAGCAGCACTGGGCAGTCTGCCCAGTCCTGCCCATGGCTTTTGCTCCAGAGGAGCCCAGTGGTGACAGTGGGAGTGGAGGAGTGAGGGGCTGTCCCAGTGGAAGCCCTGGCTGCTGCCTTGGGTGGCACTGTTTCTCAAACGCTCTGGAGGCCCCAGAGGGCCAGGAGTCTGAAGACTTGGGTTTGAATGGAGTTGAGAGATTCTTGGAGCAATGATACTTGTTACAGAAAGATTTACTGGGAACTGAAAAGGTGGCATTAGTCTGGGATGATAAGGAGTTTTAACCCTTTGAGTCTATGGTATGGGAAAAATTGCCATCGGGAACCTATTTTGTATGGTTTTGCTTACTTAGTAAATGTTTGTAAAAGCCTATATCTGTGCTTTTAATGGGTTTGGGTATTTTAGGGTGTGGAATAGATTTCCAGGACTTCTCTGATTTATGACGTCATGCTGTGGAAAAGAAGGTTTGACTTCCTCCATTCAGGACCAACTGGGAAGGGACTTGGGGATGCCTTTGTTTAAACACTCCCTCTCACTTTTCCCATTTGAATTCTGTTACACTGGGGTTCCAAAAAAATTATTAAACATTTTGCTTTGAAAACAGAGCTCCCTTTTTAAAAATTAATGTGGCTTCTCAGGGGGAGATTGCATCAGCCACCTTGCGGCAGCTCCTGCCAGGTGCCAGGAGCCTTTGTTTTGACTTCCTCATTTTCTCTCAACTGACCTTTTAATGTAGAGCAAAACAAAACGAGCCAAGAAGCCCAGGACCAGGCATATGGAGAAGGTGGTGGCCCCTCAACCTTTTTATATTCAGTCCCAGCTCCTATGAGGCTCGCCACCATCTGGTGCGACTTGGAACTTGAACTTGGAATTCTCTAGTGAGGCCCAGCTTCCACTCTTGCCTTGTGCAGTCCAGCACCTGCTTAGCTGCTCAGGCTGTGTATGAATACATTCCCATCTGCCCATCCTCAGCCACCCCCCAGCTCCTAAATTCCTACCCTACTTTTTGCTTCTCTAAGTCCGATCCATGCAGCATGAGCATTCCTGGGCTCCTTCAGCCCACACTCTGGTTTAGCTCTAAATTAGGATTTATTCTCCACTCTAGTGTCACATCTCTGAGGAACAATCTTCATCTGTTTTGTTATTCTGATACACAGTAGGCACTTTTTTTTTTTTAAATGAGTGAATGAAAATGCTACATAGTCTCCCTGAGTTCTTTCATGTACAAATCTTGGTTACACATCTTAGGACAGCAGAGCTGCTTGAGGGAGAGCTGTGTTTAATGTCACATGCGTGTTCAGCACAGTGCTGGCGTGGCCCATCCATGCTTTCTATTGAACTATGGACAGACTTCAGGAACTTGTGCATGGAGAGGGTGAAGGTTAGTGCTCGCTTCTTTCCCTAAACTTTGTGCAGTGACAGCATATGGATCTTTGGTTGGAAACCCCAGGCCTACCCTGGTTTTTGTTTTTTTCTTAAACAATCCTGATAATGACACTTCTACCACAATGAGCTTATAAATGCCCTTTAATGATAAGCCAGTGTTTCCTTCAGAGAGCAAAGGGGAGACTGCTGAGTCACTGTGACCATTTTTAGATAAACTTTTTCCTGTTTATAATAAAATAACACATGCTGATTGCAGGAAACTGGAAAATACACGAAACTGCAGAGAAAAGACTAAAAGTCATCTATACTTCAGGTCGTAGAAGTAACCACTCTGAACAGCACACTTCTTTTTACAGTATTGTTTTACACCGTTGGGATTACATAAAATACACGTTTGTATCCCACTTCGTGAACATCATTCTACGTGAACTAGAAATGTTACGTGAACTAGAAATGTTACCTAAACACTATTTTAAGGGTTCCAGATAGCTGTATCAAAGTTTATGGTTTATACATAGATGCTTTGTAACATTATTTTGTTATGTTATGAATGCTATGGTGAATACTTTTGTGAATCAACTTATGTTTCCACCAGCAGTTTCAGCGAGTGCCTGTCTCATCCCATCCTCCCCAGTATTGCATATTCTTGAGTCTTTTATTCTTTGATAATGACAAATGATGAATCAGTGATAGTTTTTTTTCATAATGAGTAAAGTTTAACATTTTCAAGTGTTTGTTGACCATTTGTATTTCTTCTTTTGTGAAGTGCTGTCAGTTCTTTTGCTATTTTACAAATAATTTTGAGTTTCAGTTTTTGTTTGCTGGTCTGTATGAACCCTTTAAAAATAAAGGCTGTTAGCCTTTTGCCATCGTAGTTGTGACAGTAAAGTATAATCCTTTCCTGCACTAGGTCCTCTGGACCAAGATGCAGATTTAGACTCCAGGTCAGCATGTAATTTGACCACTGTCATTCGAGAGTCACAGCCTGAGCAGGGCCTTAGCGGGGAGATGATTTCTGCTTAAAGGCGACACAAATTCCTAGTTAGGGAAATAGAAGGAAAGTATTCTCAGGAGATTAATTTAAGGCAGCTTTTTTGTTTGTTTGTTTAGGCATCTCTAACATTTTCATACCAATAAAGGAGAATGGGAGGGGGGCTGAAAGAGACACAAGTATTGTATCATTTAATTCTAAATTATGTATTTGTCAGGTTCTTATTGAAAGAGTGAAATTTTCAAAAGGATCAAGATAGCCATCTAAACGCAGGTAGTATGTGCCTCCACTGTGGTGAGAAACCAGAATAGTAAGTGGGTCCATTTTGAACAGATTGTCTAGGAGAGAATGCTAGGATAAACCATAAAAGATACGGGAAACATGAGAAGTAAGGAGAGGGTTTGAGGCAGCTTGCCCAGCTGGGAACTGACTGAGAGTCGGGAGAGGCTCCTGATGTGGGGAAACAGTAAGAGAGGACCCCCTAGGGCTCCAAAACAAACTTCTACAATCTTGGCCATGGAAGGACACCTTGACCCCACTGGACCAGGGCCTGGGCCTGACATTCGGAGCTGCCTAACATTGCACAGAGGCATTGCTCCAGAAAGGAAACCAATACAAAATCTCACATGCATCTGAACTTGGAGCAGCCTCAGCAGGGTGCCATTTTGAGAGCTTAGCTACTGGGACTCTACAGACATGGCTCTTGCTCCCGAGCTGCTCCAAGGAGGGAGACAGGAGAGCAGGTGCTCCCATGCCCCCCTGGGAGGGTCTGCTGCCCTTCTATGTGCTGCTATTGAGACAGATGTGAGTAGACGCCTCTCCCCACAACTTCTTTTCCGCACTGCTTGTCTAGGAGGGACGCTATGATCCCAGGCCCAAAGTGGCATTTTGAGAGTTTAATGCTGGGCTGCATCCTCCTCCCAGCCTGAGTTTGGGCTGATGAGGCTGCAGCTGCCTCCTGGCTAAGGAAGGATAGGGAAATCAGGCCATCCTACACATATCTAGGACAAGACCCACTGCCCTGCCGTGGGCTACTGTGAGACCGAGATGTGACTGGCCCGTGTGTTCCACAGCTTGTTGCCAATGCTGCTTGCTTTTAAGGTGCTCCACCCTCTCTGGTCTCAGGCTCCAGTTGCTATTTTGAGAGTTTAATATTGGGCTGCACCTCTCCCTGGAACTGAGATTGGGCTGGTGCAGCTGTAGCTGCCACCCAGCCAAGGATTAACAGGGAAATCAGGCTGTCCTATTGTGGGCGGCAAGCCACCCAGGTGCCGAGGCAAGAAACCGAGGGCATGAGCTGTTCCAGTATAATAAAATATATAAAATAAGAATAGTTATACTAGATATCGATAATAGATATGATTCTATATGAATATCATTAATCATTAGTTTGTAACAATTACTCTTTATTCCAATATTATAATAATCCTCAGTCTACAATCATAACCTAGGAAAAACCAGGCCATACAGAGATAGGAGCTGAGGGGACATAGTGAGAAGTGACCAGAAGACAGGAGTGTGAGCCTTCTGTTATTCCCGGACAGGGCCACCGTAGGGCTCCTTGGTCTAGCGGTAACGCCAGCGTCTGGGAAGATGCCCATTACCAAGTGGACTGTGGTCTAGCGGTAGCGTCAGTACCAAGGAAAAACACCTGCTACTTAGCAGACTGGGAAAGGGAGTCTCCCTTTCCCCAGGGGAGTTGAGAGAAGACTCTACTCCTCCACTTCTTGTGGAAGGCCTGACATTAGTCAGGCCTGCCCGTAGTTATCTGGAGGCCTAACTGTCTCCCTGTGCTGTGCTTCAGTGGTCACACTCCTAGTCCGCTTTCATGTTCCATCCTGTACACCTGGCTCTGTCTTCTAGATAGCAGTAGCAAAATTAGAGAAAGTACTAAAAACCTCTAATATGAAGAAATAATGGCGTAGGCTGTGTCCTCTCTCTCTCGCTCTCTGTCTCTCCGCCGTGGCTGCCAGACAGGGAAGGTCCCCCTGTCCAGTGGACATGTGACTCACGTGACCTTGTCAATCATTGGAGATGACTCACACTCCTTACCCTGCCCCTTTGTCTTGTATCCAATAAACATCAGCACAGCCTGGTGTTCAGGGCCACTACTGGTCTTTGCGTCCTGGTGGTAGTGGTTCCCTGTCTTTTCTTTTATCTCTTTGTCTTGTGTCTTTATTTCTACAATCTCTCATCTCCGCACATGGGGAGAAAAACCCACTGACCCTACGGGGCTGGACCCTACACCTATGCGCATCTAGGTCAATACCCACTGCTCTGCGACATGCTGCTGTTGAGACTGAAATGCGAGCAGACCTCCTTCCCCACAGCTTCTTGCCCATGCTGCCTGCCTGGAAGGAGCCCTGCCCTCTTGGTCACAGGCCCAAGGTGCCATTTTGAGAGTTTAATGCTGGGTTGTACACCACTTATTGATGAGTTCAACTTGATGTGGCTGCAGCTGCTGCCCAGCCAAGGAGGGACAAGGAATCCATGCTCTCCCACACGTACCTAGGACAATACCCGGTGCCTGCTACAGGTTGCTATGAGACCGACTCAAGTAGACCACACTCCCTACAGTTTCTTGCCCATGCTGCTCACCTGAGAGGGGCCCCACCTTCTCTGGTCACAGGCCCACAGCTGGCACCATTTTGAGAGTTTAATGCTGATTCACAATCAATCTGAATGTGAGGCAGCTGCAGCTGCCACCCAGGTAGGAAAGGGACAGGGAAGACCAAGCTCTCCTAAGCACACTTAGAACAATGCCCACCACCCTGCTACAGGTGGCTGTGAGACTGGGGAGTAGCTCACCCAACCCATCACAGCTTCCAGCAACACCAACATGGACTGCTTGGATCCCAGTTGGCTGCTTTAACGCTGCAACTGCCATCACTCACATGACACCACCTGCTCAGGGGCTAGAGATCATGCCCACACACTAGGCTCACCACTCCCACTACTAGCTTCTAAGCAAGCCATGTGGAGGCCCAAGAATCAGACCTCCAGGACCCACTAACCACCAGAGCCAGCATAAGCTGCTGTGGGGACTAAAAATGGCACACTAACCCCACTGTTGCCACCACTTAGGCCCAAAGGCATCCAACTTGGCATCCAAGTCCCCAGCTAAACTTCTGGGGACTTAGTCTCAGCTAATTACTGTACTCTATCCCACTGAGGAAATCACAGAGACCACTGACCCTAGGTACTGCCGAAGAAGTCATAGAAAGATCACACTGCTGCAGGCATCCAAAATCAAAGTCAAAGTATCTTAATCAACAACATACATACATCCTCAGGAAAAAATTCCCCCTTATGAAAGCAATTTCAAAAAATTGGAACAAGCAACTGCTACATCAGATGCAAAGAAATCAATGAAAGGATACAGGAAACATGTAAAAGCAGAGAAATATGACACCATTGTAATAGTCCATTTTCACACTGCTGATAAAGACATACTTGAGACTGGGAAGAAAAAGAGGTTTAATTGGACTTACAGTTCCACATGGCAAGGGAGGCCTCAGAATCCTGGCAGGAGGTGAAACACACTTCTTACATGGTGGCAGCAAGAGAAAATGAGGAGGAAGCAAAAGCAGAAACCCTGATGAACCCATAAGATCTCATGAGACTTATTCATTATCATGAGAATAGCATGGGAAAGACCAGCCCCCATGATTCAATTACCTGGGTCCCCTCTCACAACATGTGGGAATTATGGGAGCTACAATTCAAGTTGAGATTTGGGTGGGGACACAGTCAAACCATAACAATCATCAAAGGACCACAACAACTGTCCAGCAGCAGCAGATCCCAATCAAAGAGAATTCTTCAAAATGCCACATAAAGAATTCAAAATATTGATTTTAAAGAAGCTCAATGAGGTACAAGAGAAATCTGAAAACTAATACAAAGAAATTGGAAAATTAATCCAGGATATAAATGAGAAATTTATCAAGGAGATAGACATCTTAAATAAAAACAAGCAGAAATTCTGGAACTGAAAAATTCATTGAAGGAAATACATCATATGCTCAAAAACTCCAATAGTAGACTACACCAAGCAGAAGAAAGAATCTCAGAATTCGAAGACAGGACTTTTGAAATAATCCAGTCAGACAAAAATGAGGAAAAAAGGATAAAAAAAGAATGAATAAAGCCTTTGAGATTTCTGGGACTACAAGAAGTAACTGAACTTATGAATTATTGGTATTTCTGAAGGGGAAGAGAGATTAGAAAGTTTGGAAAACATATTTAAAGAAATAGACATCCAGATACAGGAGGCCCAGTGATCCCCAGGAAAATACACTGCAAAAGGACCTCACCGTGGCATATTCAGAATGTCTGAAGTCAAGTGAAAGAAGGAATTTTAAAATCAGCAAAAGTGACTAGTCACCTATAAAGGAAATCCCAAATCGCATCAGACTAATTGAGGACTTTTCAGCAGAATCCTTACATGCCAGAAGACAAGGGGATGGCATTTTCAAAGTGCTAAAGAAAAAAAACAAAAAAACCCCCAAAAACAAAGTGTCTGTCAGCCAAGAATTTTGTATCCTGCCAGAATAAGCTTTATGAAAGGAGAAATAAAGTCCTTCCCATACAAGCAAATGCTGAGGGAATTTGTCACCACTAGACTGGTACTACAGGAAATGCTCAAAAGGATCTTAAACATTGAAATGAATGGTGTTTTTAATTATTTTTGATGCAGGGTCTTGCTTTGTCACTCAACGTGGAATGCAGTAGTGCAATCATAGTTCACTGCAGCCTTGACCTCCTGGGCTCAAGCAGTCTTCCTGCCTCAGCCTTTTGAGTAGCTAGAACTACAGAC